ACTACAAGCAAAGAGAACATTACCACTTACATCCACACGCGCACCCAGATTTTATTTCATCAATTCGCAGTATTAGATTTTGAAACGAGATCTTATGAAGCTAATTTGATCCGATCTATTTCAGTACGTGTGTGCAAGAACGTAAGTACAACAGTACTTCACCAATTATTTTTTGTATATATTATAAGATTTTGAATCTTTTTTCTTTCAAATCACTATTCAAGATTTGAGATCATCATCATCATCATACATCTATGTACATCAATTCGATCATTGCCCATCGAGTTAGTGTTTTATTATCAACGAAATGGCGATATAAAAAACTAAATAGATGTCTCGATATGAGTTGGTTTGTAACGAAGGATTGGTTCTATGTCATATTGAATTAAGCCTTGAATATAGTTAAGCCGATAGTGTCGTCCATAGTGGTGACAGGTTTGCTTTTATTTTTATCACCAAAGCTTTGCTTGACAAATGTTGAAACAGCATCAATGAGCAGCTGTGATAATTTGCTACTAGTACCACTACGCGAACTAGCCGGACTTGTATGGCAACTATTACCGACCACCTTCTCAATGCCACGATGAACTTCAATATCAGCAGACATGGTGGTACACCACTGTTGAAAAGAACTATTTTCATAAGTTCTTATTTGTGGTTTACGAAAGTAACGCAGCAAAAGTGAAGAAAGAACGACACTAATGGATGATAGAGCCATCGCAGCTGAAGCCATCCATGGTTTAAGGTGAATATTAGCAGGAACAAGAACACCTAAGCATTAAAGTATAATAAGTGAAAGGGTGCAAAACATTTTGCTACAATTTTCACATCCGATGCCATCATCACGATACAATTTTTTTTTTGTTGATTCTTTTGACCGATGAATATGAACAGTTTCCCTTTCTATTTTGAACTATTTAGTAGATTTATTTTGTCACACTTTTTTTTTCCAAAAGAATAAATGCTCTCAATTCGATAGATTTGGGAGTCCGACATTAAATTATCATCGGTATTAATATAAATATTTGAAAATTTTTGTTTGAACTCAAAAAAAAACAAAATTTTTATAAAATGTTCCAATGTCTAAACAATTGAGATATCGAAGAGTTGATTTGTAACCATAGATCTCAACTTGTCTGTCGCTTTAAAAAATCATACAACACAATAGACTCGTAAGTTCAATCATGATGGCATCCTCATTGAAAGTGACTATGACAAAAAGAGTCTCTTACCAGCCGCAATCGGTATGGCAATTACATTGTATCCAATGGCAAAAATAAAATTGATCCATATACGCCAAATTGTCTTTTTTGATAGTATAATAGCAGTGACAACATCAAATAATTCGTCACGAATCAAAACAATCGAAGCAGCTTCTACAGCAACATCAGTGCCACTACCTACTGCAATACCTACATCAGCTCGTGCCAGTGCTGGTGAATCATTAATGCCATCGCCAACCATCGCTACTTTTTCTTCTGGATCCATTTTTTCTTTCAATTTATTAATAAAACGTTCCTTTTGCGTAGGCAATACTTCAGCATAAACAGTTTTGATACCAACTTTAGCGGCTATTGCTCGTGCAGTCTTGATATTGTCACCTGTTAGTAGAATCGTGTGTAGTCCAAGTGAGTTAAGAGCAAAAATGGTCAATGGAGCTGATGGTTTGATCTCATCGGCAATGGCAAACATGCCGACTAATATATCTATACAAAAATGAAAAGAAGCATCACATATGCAATGAATCGATGTTGACTCTTTTCATTGAATCCTACCATCAATAGCAACGAGAACAGCTGTGTGACCATCATGTTCATGTTTTGACATTGTTATATCAACATGTTCATTTACATTAATATTGTTTCGCATCATCCACTCTCGATTTCCAATCAATACCGTATAAGAACGTAGTGCGTCACTTTGTGGTATAAGACAATCAATACCAGTGACGCGAGCAAATAGACCATAACCCCATGTAGCTTTAAAATCAAAACATTGGCCCATTTGCTCGGTACCAAATCGTTGTTTGCATTCATTCTGTATTGCTAACGCTAATGGATGTTCAGAACCACTTTCAGCCGTTGCTAATACAATTGAAAGAAACTTTCAAAAATCCTATGAAAATTTCTCATTTACCTGCAATCGCCAACATTCGATCAAGTGTCAAGTGATCATCATCAATAAATATTTGTTTGTCGACTACACTTGGCTTTCCTTTTGTAATCGTGCCGGTTTTATCAAAAACAATGGTTCGTACTTTTCTTGCAAGTTCCAAAGGTTCGCCACCTTTAATCAGAATGCCACTTGCAGCACCAACACCTACAATAGTCAAATCATGAATAGAATTCTTTTTTTTTTGTCCTCAATTTTGTTTTTTTTTTTTTGAAAATCGAAATCGAGTTATTACAAACTTTAATATATATTACCTGTCGCTACCATAACTGCAGTTGGCGTTGCTAAACCAAGAGCACACGGACAAGCAACTGATAAAACAGTAATACCATATCGAAAGGCAAGTTCGAATACAATTTCACTTTGACTATAATGTGTCATATTAGATTCACTATACTGTTAAAATCAAACGAAATATGGAATATTTAACAAAGATAGAAAATTATCTTACACTAGAATGTTTCTTAAGACTATCATAAGCCGTATAACCGATAATCACATAGATGAGCCAAGTTATAAATGAAATAATAAGAATAAATGGAACAAAAACACCTGCAACTTTATCAGCTAATTCTTGAATGGGTGCTTTCGATGTTTGAGCATCTTCGACAAGTTTAATGATTTGTTTTAATGCAGTTTCTTGACCTACATGTGTAGCTTGCATAATAATTGAGCCGACTAAATTCTTTGTACCACCAACAACTTGAGCACCGACTACTTTGTCCACTGGCATCGATTCACCTGTAATTAATGATTCATCACATGTGGTTGTACCATCGACAATTCGACCATCAGTCGGAATTGTTTCACCCGGTACAACTTTAAGAAGATCACCACGTTGAATGAGTTGAGCAAGAATCACTTGCTCTTCGATTATTTTGCCTCTGTCATCAAGTTTAACAAGTACACCTTGTAGAGGCTGTAATGATAAGAGCTTTTTTAATGCTTCCGATGTTTTGCCCTAAAGCAAATTCATATAGGCATCGATTTATCTTTGACAACTAATATAATGATAATAGAATATGAAAAGTTCTTTAAATTTGAATCTTAGTTTTCTTAAAGATTTTTTTTTAGATAGAAAACTGCTAGTATGTTTTACTTTGACAATATTTTCCAGCCATCGACCCAGTGCAACGAAAAGAAAGAGCACTAAACATGAACAAATTGATCCATATTATATAATTCATAATTGAATTTACAAGAAAATACTACATACTTGGTGGAACATCGAAGAATGTCAATGGACTATCCAGTTTGAGAATGATGTTCACAATAATGATTAATACAGAGTAGACATAGGCGATAGTTGTTGCCATAACAATAAGAACATCCATGTTTGCTGATTTATGCTTCAACGAACGATATGCATTGACATAGAAATGTCGACCACAAATGATCTAACGAATATGAATGAAGAAAAATGCTATGAGAACGTTCATTATCGAAATGAAACATATCATTGTACCTGAACAGGAGTAGCAAGACAAAACATGACTACATTTTCAAGCGAAAGACCATTTCGAATTTGTGGTGCCTTATCATGATCTTGCCATTTAAACATAAACAGAAACATGGCAACCATAGCCGGTATGCCAAATACAGTAGACAAGATAAATGCGTTTCTCCATCTATAAACAATAAGTCATATGCAAAAAATCGATATTGTGGAAAAACGAAATAAGAACATCACTTTTTAGTTGTTTGTTTTTGTATTTTAGCTATGTCATCACTCTTATAGTCGTCTGACAAAAGTGTTGCAGGAAAGCCAAGATCCTAAATGTGTAAATGTGGAATTTTAACAGACTATTCGTTATTTTTGACTTCACATACGCTAATCTGAGTGATAATATCTCGTGGACCGATACTACTAGCATCATATTTGATTCGACCACGATGAGTGAGTAGAGCTATGTCGACGGATTTAATACCCGATAATGCTTTGATATGGCGTTCAATTTTGCTAACACACGATGCACAAGTCATGCCATCAATCTTCAATAATAAGATTCAATAAATTATTCATTTATTTCAATATTTTGTGAAAGTACGTAGCGAAAAATTTGAATCTTCTCTCTCATAGATACGTGACAAACAGTATGCGATTTCGAACTTAAGAATTTATATTCTAATATAGATGTTTTTTTTTTTATAAATAAATATGTTAATAATAATTTATTGAGCTATTTATTAATCTTGGAAACTATTTGCTCTCACGATGGTTTTCTAATACACGTTCTAAGTTCGAAATAAAAATAGGATTCTCATAAAAAGATCAAGTAGCTTCATTGTTTTTTCACAAGTTACTCTCATAGGAGTTATACTAACAACTTTTTTCTATCTATTTCATGAGCCTGTCTTTCTCAAATACAACAGTTCAAATCAATTTAACCAAGATTATCTCACCGCTGTTTATTTCTCCTGAAAGTCTATCCAAATATATGGATTTAACATTTTGCTAACTACATAGTACGAGTTTTATTGCTGTCAAAATAGTCGATTTGGCCTACAAATTTTCTCATATGTATGAATTCAATTAGATAAATGGTTAAGCAATCTCATTATACATGTCCAAACATACATTAACATCAATTATATCAGTGCCAGATGTCGTTATTTCAAGTACTTGAGCACGAAATCCAAGATCTTTGATTAAGCCAGCTATCTGTGATGGTAATAAATATTCAGGATCATATTTGACTTCAGCACGTTGGGCAAGTAAAGCCACTAATACAGAATGAATTCCTAAAAAGTAAAGAAAAATCTCATATATAAACATTATCTAGACAATATCATCAAAACGAGTACTACATTTTTTGTGTTTTTTCTTACCTTCAACTTTTGACAAATTTCGTTCGATACTATCAACACACGATGTGCAAGTCATACCTTCCACTTGAATGAAGCATGTTTCAATACCATCACTTTTCTTCGTTATTGCTGGTAGTTTTCTTGTAAGCTCATTTCGATTGTTGAGTTCAGATGATGATGAAGGTTCTACCGAAATCAATTAGAGAAAATACTTCTTATGAATGGTTTTTGTTTTTTAGAATCTGTATTGTAAAAAAAGAGAGACAAACCGATTTCATAATGATCAGCTGATACGGCAGCTTTGAAACCAAGTTTTTCAATTTCAGTTACAATATGAGCAAGACTTAAAATGCGTGAATCATAAGTTACAGTGGCAATTTTTTCTTCAAATGTTAATTTTATATCGATAGTACCCGGAAGATCTTCAATCGTGGCACAAATATTCGACACACATGAATTACAATGCATGCCTTCAATACGTATCTGTACCACAACTATGCCAGCTTTCAAACTTGTCTCATTCGAATCAATTTGTGCCGAATAGCCAAGACTATGCATGATTGATAGTAGTTCAAAGCGACTAAGATTTCTCGAATCATATTTTAGTTCAATGTGACTATCATCACTATCATCGATATCCATGAAACGACATGACACAAGTCCTTGAATGCCTTGATATAATCGATCAGAAACATAATGATGGTTGAGTCTGTGTACACCAGTCAAAAGTATTTCAATACGAGTTATATGTGGAGCTTCAGCATCGAAGACGAACATTGCACGATAGCTTTAAAGGAAAGATGAGAAGAAAAATTAGTAATTATCTGTATTCGATGCATTAAAAATTTTTTTTATGCAATGTATTAGAGTACATTGTAGTTCGTTTTTATCGAAAAACTAACTCGATGGCTTTGTTTGATATACAATAAAAAATCGTCGAAATGTTTTACTCACTTGTCAAACGTCAACTGTTTGATAAGTCGAAGTTCTATATCTGTCATTGATGTATTAGGCGTAACTTGAATTGTACAAAGACCACTTGAAGACACTTGACATCCGATGACTTCACCAATAGATCGAGCACGTACATCTACGATTGATGCACTCGCGTCATCAACTACTCCATCAATGAATAGACGAATGATTTTAGTGAACGTATGCATTGAAATCGTCTTCAAACTCTAAAGAATATACTGAGCAAAACAAAAAAAAATAGAATCAGGTGAATTTTATGAGGTTTTTTGCAAAAAAAAGAACAAAGGTTAAGGTGAGCAAGCACGAAAATTTGTTTTGGATATATCATATTATATAGTGGTTGTTGTCTCATAATATCTTTCATGTTTTTCATGTAACATATTTTTTTCACTAACACACTTTTATATTTATATAATCTTTATTTAAGAACGTTAGTTCACGTGTGTTATATTCGAACATGAGTATGTGATAAGATAAGCATGTTTAGCACATGAGAAGATAACAAACTAGGCACACTTCGTAAGAGAGGCAAAAAAAACAGCAATTATCGACACCAATGTCTAGCCGAACTCTTTTGGCAAATTAGAAGAATAGTTCTTTTGTTTTTGTTCTCGATGTCGGGAACAAGACGGAAACGGTCGGTACTCCAGAATTTCAAACCTTCTTTGATATTATTGAAATACCTATTGAATTTTGAATCTATCATCTTTCATTGTGTATATGAATACTATGTTCGAAATCAGATTGGTGATGAAACCAAGAATTCACAGGTAAAGAGAAGAAAGACAATCCACTCCTCCTACAGTCAATAAAACATAAATCAAGCCCAAAAGACCTCGATTTGGTTGCATATTTTGATACTCGACTACATTCTAATGATACTCTGATACTTCGATTCGATAGTATAGTAACGAATGGTGATACACGTCAAGAAACAGCTTTTGGAAAAGTGCTAGCAAAACTTGAGTGTGTAATTATTTTGGTTGCATTACGCTTACAATTTTGAAAACTATACTTAGAACATACCAAAAGTAGTGACAGTTGTACTACAATATCGTATAGTAGCTTTAAAAAAATGTTCTGTCTATATGGAATAATAATAGAAATAATCATCTATATCTCTATGATATTTGATCATTCTTCAATTAACATCATAATAATGAAATTTCGATAAGATCTGTTTGTTACGACACGAGACGATTATATTAATTAGATCATATTTTGTCTTCCATGTGCATTTTCTTCTCAATATTCTGTTTGGTTTTCTCTCTTGTCATTCAACATTTTAGAAAAAATGATTAAAAAGAGAAATATTCAAGATGGAAAGAGAGTCCAAGCCTTAACAACAATCGTTCGATATGGCCAAAAAATAGGACTTTTCATACAGCCATTGAATAAATATTTGTCTTTTCAAGATTAAATAGACAAGAAAAGCTTGTTTAGAAAATCGAACTCTACCATTCTGTAGAAAAATGAAGACAAAAAAAAACAAAATGAACTGAATCCATCAAAGTAGAAAAAAAAAGTGTGACTATGCCACTTGGATGTTTGGCAGAAAAAAAAACGATTGAATGTGATATTCAAATATGTTCTGTAATTAAAAAAAGTGTTCAATATAGTTACAGTAATAGTTGTAATCGAATTCTGAAAGTTCAGTGCATCTTTTCAGAATAAGACTAAAACAGATCACTGTTATATCACTATTGATAAACTGTTCTTTAGACATTTTTTCATATCTGTCCTAGTTGTTTTTTTATGTTTAAATAGAATACATTGTTATTTTAGCTGCTATCATCGAACCAAATTTGTAATTGAAAGAATTCTTCTCGATATCGACATTTTCTTTTCATAATCTTGAGATATCTTATAATTTCTTCACAGTTGTTTCCTTCATTTTGAATAATCTCATTTGTTGGCCATACGAATACTATACTCCATAGATGTTTGAATCGATTGAGAATATTTTTCATTTCGTCTAAATCACTAGCTGGAAATTGTATATGTTTGATATGTTGTGGAATTATTGAATATATATCGTTCACATCTATCACATGAGTCCTAGACCAACCTCTTCTTATTTTTAGAACGGAAACATTTACTGCTTGTTCGAACAATTTGTTTATTTGAGTTATTAGATTCGAGATAGTTTCGGCCTTGTCATTGTAGAAAAAATCGAGTGTTGTAACATGTGAAAGATTGATTATTGTTGAGACGAATTCGTTTCCATTCCATGGCCAATTCTCGTGAAAACAAAGTTTAAGATTAGTAACATTTGGAAACAGGTAATGATCTGTTTCAGTCATCTAGTTAAGAAAAAAACAAGATATAAAATGAATGATTTCCTCTTCTGAATATATCCAAGAAAATTATTTAGAGGGTGAGCTTTCTCGTCTTCAACATTCACACATATACCCAAACCGTATTAAAAATTATGTTTTCATTTAAAAGATACATAGCTTGTTATCGTATGAACTTTAAAAATTTGACCTTTGTTTTTTTTTGAGCAATTATGAAATGTTGTTTATTTTTACAGCTAGTACATACCTCTTGAAAATTGAAATATGTCATGTCCCATAGACTGAAATGTAAATGTCTCACTCCATTCATCATTTGTGTATGCATATTCGGTTTGTCGAAGGTAGAAGTTGAAATTTTTTCGAAGCCGAAATAATAATTGGCATTTATCGTTGGTATTGGTGTTGAATAGAAAATAAATTTTTGTAAACGTAAGAGAAATTCACATGTAAAAAACCAGTGTTTCTCTTCGATCCAAAACGACGTACGAAATTGTTCAATAAGCATATCGATCGACAAGTTTTCGCTATTAGTGGAACCATTAATAAATATTTCAAAATGTTTTAATGAACACAATTTACTACGAATGAATTCTTCTAATCTAGAACTGTCCATAAAAAAGATAGTGTCACTTATATCACCTATAATTTTAAGATGCATTAACGTAGGTGTCAATGAGAGACTCTTTTCAAGATCGAAAATCGATCCTTGATGTTCTAGTAATGTTAGTGAAGTCAATGGATGATAAAAATCATAAACGAATTGATCATTTTCCTCGCTTTCACTGTCATGAATAGCTTGATTTTGTTTTCTTTTGAAATGTTCCATAACTATTGTTTGTAGATGTGGTGAATGGCGTAGAATCATATAATATTGTTTTCGAGTACAATTACCAATGGTAAGATGTTGAAATGAATATTGAATTGGTGATAAAATTTTATCTAATTGATATGACCGAAGATTGGTTTTGAATATCGTTAAATTTGATTGAGCGATTACGGATGCAAGAGGTCCAAGTGTTGGACCGGTTAAGTCATAATCACGAAAGTCAGGATGTTTGAATGGAGGAGAAGGTCGAAAATAAATCGAGAATGATACAAATGAATGACAATTGATGACATGATCGAATATACTGCTAAATAAATCTTCAGAATCTTGTGTAATAGTCAATGAATGAAGTTGAGTGAACCGACGAATATTAATAAGTGAGAGAAAATATTCGATTTGTTTCGGTGTTTTAACATCATCGGATAATTTTAGTGAAATAACCGAGTCCGGTCGAATGAGACGACAAATGTATCGCAATCGGTACATGGAAATTAAATCAAAATCGAGAACGTACCGATCGTACCATTTGACTATATCACGAAATTGTCTACAAGTATGGCGTAATGAAAATATAATTGTCTGTACATCAATATAATCAAAAATAGAATACAGAAGTTCTATAGGTAACTTGAAAATTTCGGAAATTTGTTCAGTATTTGTCATAATATTACTATAATTGCTATTTGACAACCTGCCATTTCGTCGTGATGTTCTTCGATGACTTTGCAAGTCAATTTTTTTACCAACGATTTGCATATTTGCCATGATAGAAATGCGTATTGCATACGACTCTCGTTCTTTATTCATACCCACACGTGCACAACGAGAATTGCTTTGTCAATAATCATTGAATGATAGATAAGGGTGCACAGACAAATACTTCTATATACAAAGTTGATGCAATGTGCAAAAGGATCTTTCGTTTATCCAAAACGATTCTTCAGCTCATTTATCATGAACACTAATAGCAGATTCCTATAAATTTGTTCTTCAGTAATAATTTTGTTCGATGTTTAGTCACTTTCGACAAAGTCACTTAAGCTATTTATCAACAATAATTTTATTACTTACCATGTCAATAGTCGACATGAATGCTTGAAGCTACAGAAAATTTTTCTAAAGTTATTAACCGATTTATTTGAAATTTATTTAATCCGAAAATTTCTTAATTAGATCATTCATCATGTGAAACAAATCAACCAAAACAATATGTACCAATTTGTAGACTGAAAAATGGCAGTATTGTGAGTGGTAGATGAAAAAGTGAATCGATTATTTACTCTTGTTTTCTTTTTTTTTTTTTAAGAAGAACAACATGATATGTTTAGTCATCAATATTGCAGACTGAGTTAAAGTGAGTCAAAACGCAAAATATACTTCGAAGAAATGGTGCTGATTCTCTTCTAAAACTTGTTGTCTGTATACGAAAATAGGACTGGGACTGAGTTTGTGCAATATCAGACAACATAGCCACACCTATAACTTACCGCTAGTGTTTACATGTCGTTTCCTAAAGAATGTCAAATTATATTGGAATTTCTTAGCATTTTCCAAGGTGTTCTTTCAACTGCCTTTACATCTCAACTTCAGTAGACAACAAAAGAAACGATTTGAAATAATTTCTACTCGAAAATCTCCGTTTGACTATTACTTAATTTTGGTTTTTTAAACTAATTCTTTTTCTCTTCCGTAACCAATGAAAATGTAGATACGCCTAACAAAAGTATGCAAAATGATGAATAAAATTATAGAGTACTTGTGATTTTCAAGATTTCTCGATTCATATGCTTGATGTATGGGTGGGTGTATGGTGAAAGGAAGTCTAACATTCATCCACTTGCTCACACCTTCAAATCAGCAATAGCACTAATAGCCAATTTTTGGTAGAGTTTCAGTTTGTTACATCATTATTTTTTGTAAAGGATGAAAATGACTTTCGCTATGTCACATCCTTGGTATCATTTTCAACCGAATGAAATTAAGTTCGGGAGTGTGTTTTTTTTATTAAATTTGTCTTTCATAGTAGGGGACTGCGTTTTTGAAGGATAGTGACTTTGAACAGTTGATTTTTTTATATCAAATATATCATTTCACCATTCCTCATATCATATTTGAGTAGAAAAAATAGAATGACGTTCTGCTATCAGGTCAGAGTTCTATAAGACCATACTTATGAAAAAAAAAAGAGATGTACTACTTTATAATAACAAACGCTCAATATGTAAACAGGATTATTTATGTTTTGTTAACAGCGGTCACACTTGTGAATGTGTGTTTGAAGAAAAGAATATATCCTCACATCATTGATGAATATGTATATGTTGTAGGCAAAATTGAAATCCGGGCAAATTTTAAATTTGCCCAGTCAAAATTGAAATTTTAATTTTGACTAGGCAAAATTAGAATTCTAATTTTGACCAAGAATTTATCAGTCAGAACTAAAATTTCAATTTTGACTGGGCAGATTTAAAATTTGACTATAGGCTATATCATTTAAATAAAACAAAAATAATTACAACAAATAAAATAATTTTTTATTAATTCTTTTTAATAAAATGGCTAATAAAAAAATCTTTTCAACTATTCATCCATATTCTTGCAAGCACTTTGTTCTGAGTGACACTTTGCAAAACAGAAAACTCCGATTTTTCTACATTCACGTTGCTTTGTAGTGCTTCATAGTCCCTAATGAAAGTATTGAGTTCAAGGTATCCCAAAAGGTACCCTGCTATCAGTATGTCACAAAAAATTTTTAAGTATCCTGCAAGGAACTATATCAGTACCTCATCGTAATCGGGTACCTACTTACGTACTTCCCAGTTTCTATAGCATGCATGAAGAATTTTTCAATAATTTAGTCCACGGAACGCCTACAAGCATTCTGAAGTCTAGATAAAAGACCAGAAAAGCATCTTCACGTATTTCAGTCCTTTCATTAAGGATTATTAAGCACTACAAAGCCATATGAATGTAGAAAAATGAGAGTTTTTTGGTTTACAATGTGTCATTCAAAACGAGGTGCTCGTAAGAATATGGATGAATAGTTGAAAAGATTTTTTTATTAGCCATTTTATTAAAAAGAATTAATAAAAAATTATTTTATTTGTTGTAATTATTTTTGTTTTATTTAAATGATATAGCCTATAGTCAAATTTTAAATCTGCCCAGTCAAAATTGAAATTTTAGTTCTGACTGATAAATTCTTGGTCAAAATTAGAATTCTAATTTTGCCTAGTCAAAATTAAAATTTCAATTTTCACTGGGCAAATTTAAAATTTGTCGGGATTTCAATTTTGCCTACAACATATACACAGGTGTTGGTCACATGCGCATTGTATATTTTGCCTTGAACATGCATTTTTTATGACTCGGCTCAACAATCATGAAACATCAGCGACAATTCAGACACTTCATCAAATGCTTTTGAAGCCATATGTCAACTCTTTTCATTGTATACTGAAGATCAAGACATTGCTGTTCCGTTCACAATGGTATTTACTTACATTACTATGCAAAGCACTATCTTTGATGTGAATCAAATGCCAATATTACAACCAAAAAAAAAAAAATAATAAACAATTTAATGCAAAATACTTAAAATAAAATCGAAACTTTATGTTTTATGTATATAACGACTTTTGTTCATGACGTCTAGTGAAACGTGGCCTTGTAGAGAAAGTTAGTCCAAGTCAAATTTGACCATTTACAAATAAAACCTTTGAAGGTGTGGGTATGGATGATACCATTTGAAGAGAAGAGTGAACGGTGACAGTAAATGAGAGAAAAAATACTTGTGAACAATATAAGTCTCTTGAAGAATTCGAACTGATGTACTCAATGAAGCTTTGTTATTTTCTTTAAACTAAACGAATGTGAAAATTTTGGCCACATCCTATTTGATGATTTGTTTTCAAATATCCGATAGTCACGAACTGCTTAAGATCTCCATTCTACTTTATATGCATTCTATATAAGTCATATTTCAATATTTTCATAAAATGCAGTGATTATATTTTATCTTTATGAAGTTAATTTCTATCGTGTTATTGTTAGTTTTTTTTTGTTAGTACAGTAGTTTTAAGTGAAGTTTACGCGATCAATCAAAGAACTGCTTTTCATTTAAGTTGTTATAAAGTTCTCTTGTATCACAGAAATGTTGTCATCGGAACATTCGAGTGTATCAACATTTAATGATGAATAATCTGTGTATATTGTCTGAGAAGGTAGATGAATGCTATTCTCTATTGTTTTAAAAACTCCAAACATATAAATAATGACAGCCAGAGTAATCATAAATAGAATTAACCCGTAGAATAGTAACCAATGAGATGGACATCGAATTATATGACTTGGAATCGATATAATCTTGGATAACTTCAAGTTAGACAATATATTTCTCAATTGATTCACCAATTGATTTTGTCTGCGATCTCTTCGATATCTTCCTAAAACAATATATCACTTGTTAGATTCAAACTTTGTGTGTTAAACCAATTTCTGCAACTTATAATCATTATTAACTCTCTAGCTTCAGGTTAAATACTTGTCGATCTGAGAGAAATATCGATTTTCAGTGATTTTAAAAGAAGAAAGTCGTATTATTTTTTAGATACATAACTATATTTTGACACAAGGTCGAAATCACAGCACTAGTTTGCTTGTGAAGTACGAAAATTTCCAAAGATATTGATATTGGACAACAACAATATACATGTAAAAGTACTATTATTATTTACTCTGTGTTCATTTTTTCATTTTAATTATCTTATTCCTTTCATTAGCTAAATATTTTAAGTAGTTTCGTATTCTTTGATTAATAATTTCTTTGGTTACTTTCCAATATTTATTACTTATTAGCAATATCAAATAACAATGAGTAATAAATTATTACTGTAATAAGTTAATAACAAAGTAAATGCAACACACTATAAATATGAAAAATAAGTAGAATTTTAACACATAAATGTTGTTCCTTGATTAACTAGCATTTTGTGGATCTTTTTTTGAGATTTAGAGTTTTTAGAATAAAGAATGTAGCAAAGAATTATATTCCATAGTAGTTGTTCGTTCTTTGTTTATAGTCTTGTTTAGAACAGAACTAAAGATCTCTTCTATCATCTTCTAATCTTTGCTGTACAAGTATTTTGAGATAGAAATGTAATGCAGAGATCAATTGGTTTACTAGAGGATGATAGAGAAAAGAAAGAATGCAATTGAAGAATAAACAGACGATAACGAAGGTCAAAAAAGTTTATTGGTAACATTCTTTTTCAGTTAAAAATCTTATATAAGAAAGAAGAAACTAATAGAATTATAGTTATGCTCTTCATATCTATTGTCTAAGTATGAATCATACTCATTTATCATTCTGCTATGACGATAATTCAGATATCTTTCAATCGGCTTGAAAACTTTAAAACAACACTCATTCAAGTACTGTTGCAAAATTATTCTATGGATTATTGAGTACAAATATCTTAATACTGAACATCAGTAATATAATATAAATACTTAGAGAAACATAGGAAATCATATAAACCATATGATCATGCTAAAATAGATCTCGATATATTGCAATCTTAATATCCATGATTAAAACTTAGTACTTATCTTGAAACAATCGCTCTGTTATAATGAACGAAAACGTATTCATCTCTTTTATGACAAGAAAAATTTTCCATCAATGAAATCATATCACAACTTTCCTCTGGTCGACCCACTGTTGACAGTCATTAATGATACATTCAGCCAATTATTTAGTTATATATTTGATAATTATTCTCATTATATTATAATATAAAATAAAAAAGAATAGAGATTTGTTGAGTACTACTGTGTAATGAAGATTGTTAGAAAACTAATAGAGTAATTATTTTTCTTCTCAATCTTCCTATGATAAATGTTGTAGGAAAAAACTAAAGATTGAGTTCACCAATATTTTACTATATGACTTATAACATTTTGTTTATTGTTCAAGAACAGTGGTTTGCTAGACGATGAAGCTATTTCAATTGTTTTCTAACTCTTGCTTTTATCTTTCGACAGTAGACAAATTTTGATAAGACTAATAAAATTGTCATTGAATAAGTACTAATGATCTTAAAGAGTTGATTTTTCATTCAGAGAATACATTTTACTGAAACAGAAAAATTTCATACTTGAATGAATAATCTATAATGTATTACATTTTCTATCGAATTCTATTTCAAGTAAAACAATCGATTGCCTTATTGTTATTTCTAGATAACTAAGTATCGATTGAAATTAATAAACATACATCATGTCATCATCAAGCATGGTTCTTACATATCAAATAATTTCAACCAATCTTTACAAATTCGATGAACCAATATTAATTATTCTTGACGGTCTAGGAAGAATATTTATTATCTTTGTTTTTATACAAAAATCAATGTGTCAAAATCCTGGTTCGATCTATTTTATTGCATTTAACATAGGTAATATTCTCGTATTATGGCTTAGTCTATTTCCATTTACTTATTGTTCTATATCTGGTAATGATTTAACATTAACTAATTTATTCTATTGTCGATTTCATCTCCATATATTACATGTCATAATAATGTTACCACCATCTTATCTAATATTGGCTTCAGTCGATTGAGTTTTTATTACTTCACAAAATACATTGACACGACAACGAAGTACTCGTCGTGTAGGGTGTGGGTTACTCTCTACTCCATATCTACACTCACACTCACACCCATAACATGAAAAAATATTCATCGAATTCGTATTCATCCGACTTCAGATGGATTTTTAATACAACTATTTTATCATGCAAAGATTGACAATTAACAAAAATGTTATTATCCAAAATATTAATTTCTATTGTATTTTCATTAGTAGGATCAATTATTTATGTTTATACTCAAGTAACAACGAATGCAAGTATTAGTTTTGAGCAGCGAGCTTTGAATAGTTTTTTAATATAGTTTAGTTTAAATCTTATTTTTCTACAATCTTATTTGAGTTTATATTCGAATATTATTATTTCAAGTCCATTTAGAAAGCGTTTTCAAAAATATCTTCAACAACTTTGTTTACCTTCTTATCACCGATCTACAGATGAATCTACTATGGGGCGAAGAACAGTTGCTGATAATATGACATTTCGACTATATCCAATGATTACAAATCACTAAAACTTTATATTACTAAATGATGATGTTATTTCTTTTTTCGCTTGTAAAAAAATGAATAATCATATTTTATTTAAATAGATTGAATAATAGATGAAGCATGAAAACAAAAAAAAAGTGAAACACAAGTTGACATCTGAAGAGTAGACTAATGATTAAACAATCCATAATCATACTAATGCAATTCATAATAAATCAATCATAGAAGATGTTTCTGTCTATACAAAACTTTCATAATGGTACACAGATCTTGAATGAAATGCAATTAAAAGCTCAATGACAACTACGATATGTTAACAGTGCTCTTTGGTCTTTTTCTGTCTTCGATTTTATTCTAAAGGTTTTCTTTTGGATTTCTCTAATAACAAGTTGTGTTTGAGCATATTCAACCATTCTGAATAAAAATGGCTTATCTCTTCCCGATGCTAACTGTGCTTTATCATTCTTGCATCAAACTATTTTAAGGTAAATGAATGCACAAGTGCATATGTTCGTCAATCGAAGGATGGATATTTTCAGTTCATCCTTGTGCACCCACCTATTGACAGACACATGCATCACCCAAGCCTCTAAATAGGTTGAACTAGCTCAAAGAAGTTCATTATAGCGTATCCCTAACATTTACATGAAAACATTTCTACACTTTCATTTCGCTGTGTTTGCTGATGAAGAGTCTGAGTAGTAAAGAACAAGTGTGATATAAGATCGATAGCTAACAACTTTCACCGTAATCCAAGTAGGATTAGAATATGAAATTCGATAAGTCTAATACACTAATAAGCAAGATCCAAGATTCCATTTAGAATATAGTCTACAAGATTCAGATCAACTTAATTATGAGAATGTCTGTTATGATCTATGACACTACACTGTGAAAAACCTAAGTTAATCACCCCACTGTTAAAATTTCGTTTTGTTAGTATGGAACTTTCTGAAAATTTCACAGTTTCATTTGTAGCTTCATGCATGATGAGTTAAATCAATGATGGCTTCATAGATTTCAGAAAGGGTGTGGATTTGTTTGTGAGCTTTGGTCTTTCACTCGCAAATATCCCACACCCACACCCTTTCGGGATCGATCAGAGTGCTGTTGAGACAGTTATGAAACATGTAAAACGTGAGAGCATATTTTTAACGTATTAGTTAAGACACTTTTCTCAAACAAAGATAAACATTTCTCAAGACGATGAATCTCATATTGTGGAATACGACTGAACAGTATTAATTTACAATCGAACTTTCTGAATATTTGTTGTTCTTTCGATTGTATATATTAAGCCACATCAATGAAATACTGTCTTTCTCTATTTAACAGTTGCTGTGACTGTTTTTTTTATTATGCAGACTGTCAGCTGTTTTTTCTATGCACACGTACAAGATTACGTTTTTACTCTATCTTTCTAGTTTAAGAAATGGTATTGAAATAAACTTTGACTATTAAATTAAGAAGAAAATTTAACAAAACTATCCGGTAATACAAAGAAAAACTAAACCATAAGATCGGCTCCTTATAATTGAATTTTTCTGTCGATAAAACAAACTTTCGTCTTTTCAAAGTAGTATGCAATGGAATAGCCTAAAGTTATTAGTAATGAAAATTGTATAAACCAAGCAAAGAGATGCGTAATTTTTTGTTTTCATGAAGCAGACTTAAAATATTATACGATAAAGTGAATGTTCTACATTTCAGAGAAGTCAATGTTGATAAACTAAAATTTCACATTGAGGGTCATTCGTGAAGGTCGTTCAGAAAAAAACGTATTTTTTATTCTTCTTGCTCCGCTCGTATGGAGGTTTTTAAAGTCTCTTCGATCTTCGTTGTTAAGTATATATAACAAAAATAAAAATCATAAAAGTATGTATTTCATAAACAAATCTGATCTAATGCGAAGTTTTATGTTTTTTCTAAATATATTGTGTTTTAATGAGCAGAAAATAGAAAAAAAAATAGAAAAAGAAAAGAATTTCAGTACTAATGACGTTCGAAAATATAACGAAGTTCACATTACTGCTTCACAAAATAACAAACTGCTCTTTAGCAGCAACACCACTAGGAGAAAAAGGAAAGCTGAGCCCTTCTCTGAGTATCTCCGAAATATTTTTTAAGTTGTTGCTAATTGTGATTTCACAAGAGAGTTGAGCAGTACTAAGCCTCTTTCCTCTGATAAAAAATTCTAGCGCCACTGCTAGTGCCCACTGTTGAAAACACACTAAGCTTCAAAGCTTCGCACAAAGTTGTGGGGAAAAAAGGAAAATATTCATGGTATGTGTTTGAATATTCAGAAATGCTTGACTTTCCTATCCCATTCGCTTCGATGCCCTTTATAGATGATCCGTTGTCATAACACTTTAGTGTGTACAAAAGGAAATCCACTCGATTGTTAGAATTTTTCTTATTATCTTATTTTGTGTATTACTTTGTTACGTTTTTGGGTTATCACTTATATGATTACTAATTATTAGTAATACGTCATAAGATTATTAGCTATTACTTAGTACTACTATTGATAACGTAACACCTCTAATTTGCCCTTGACAATATGTGTTGAACACTTATTTCTGTATTGAGATTTTAGAAGAAACGCTTTTGAAGCGAATTTTTTCAATGGCATGACCCCAGAAAAAAGAATTCCAGTTGGCTGACAAGGAGATTTTACTCTTTATAAGTTTAAGTTTAGATAAAAAAATATTTGTGTTCTGTACTTCTTCTTATTGAGATCAACCGCTTAAAATAATAATAGTTTTCATTCAGTGACTACTATATTTTCTAAACTCAAATTCACTCGTTCATGAAAAATTCAAAATCATAAATCTATTTTGAAATAACTTTTGTCATTATCAACATCTCTGAAGAAAATAAAGTTAAATTTTTTTGACAACGAGTTTTTTTCAGTATTGAATGTTCGAATAGCTAATATGTATGTATGATTGTATAACTAAACAGATGCATATTGTGCTATTCTCTCATCGTATACTTAACCAAAACAAAACAATAAATAAATCAAAGCATGCTTAAATTCGTAATAGCTTTCTACATACATGTGTGTACTGAAGCGCAATATATGAAGCAGAATATGGTAAAAAACGTGAAAATAATGAAAATTGGTTATTTGTTTGTGCAGATTAATAGAATATAAACCTACTTGTAGAATAAATTGATGAACGTCCCTGACCAAGTGCGCCAAGATTATTTGTTTTGACATGATAAAGAGTAGATGAACAACGTGCAATATTTTTGTAGCATTTATTTCGTTTTTGTGGTGACATCGTCGCTATTATCAATGAAACTGACTCTCTTATAGAACAAAAAAAATGCAACGAATATATAAATATAAATGTGATTAGTATCACCTGTATGATGAGTCACTTATCTTCAATACACTAGAAAAAAGAAAAATATCCTCTAAAAAAAGACAATTATGCAAATTTTGTATGAAAAATCAAAATTCACTAAATATTCACAATGTTTCAAAGTTAGAATAAAAAAAGTACCTCAGACAGTTATTGTGCGAGCATGTCTTGTCTTCAACAGTTTGTACTCTTAAGATGTGTCTAAATATGATTAAATAGTTCTTTTTATTGCACTCATGATTTCAATGAATCTCCATGCAACAGTCTATCTTTTGATAATCCTCAGAGAAAATTAAAATCTAAATGGGAAAAATTCAAACCAATCGAATATATCTTGGTTTTGAATAAAATAAATATAGCATTTGAGTATTACTCGAAATAGGTCTTTTCATTTACAATAACATCTTGATAGGAAAATAAATATCAACAAATTTACAATATCTTCTGTACTAAATCATGCACGACATTGAAATATTGATGAATATTCCATTGATTAAAAAAATATCATTTATTTCATTGAAATCGATCGACTTAACAACCATAGCATATCTTACTATGTTGATCACTTTTCACAGTAGGTTTAGATTTTGCCTTTAGACATTCATCGAAACGTCTTCATTCATACTAAAGATAGCACTATCAAATTCACTGTTAAAACCTATATGAGATCATGACATACGATCTTGTATTAATTTATGTTTTATTTAATTCTTTAGAATGTCAAAGCCTACGAAAAGAGAAACTCATTATATATTCGATGAAGAGTTTTTTTACGAAAAAAATAAAAGTTTCATTTAGTTGGAAGAAAATTTCAGTTCATTTTGTCATGAAAAGTGTCAATTTTATGTAATCGAGAATCAAATGATAAAAATATGTGCATATATTCCGGTTAATAATGATAACATCCTAAATTTCTATTTAATAAATCGTAGTTACCTGTTCGAAGTGCACTGAATAAGTTCATTACTATTGCTGGATACATACTGCAAGATTCATTTGGTTCTGTTTTCATTCAAGAGTATAATTAGCCCGTCTCGAAGTTCACATTGATCAACATTTACGTACCATCATCGTAAACCAAATACATCGTCTATGTACGAATAACTTGGAT